ATACACAAAAATATGCTAGGTGCACAGGCAAGAAGACGTACGTGGTACGACCACGTCATGCAACACTCATGAAAGTTTAAAAATAACTGATATTTCTCGCTGATATTTTATATCTGATGTTCTATTTTCACTAGCTTNGGGTATAGTTTATCTGATCTCCTGTAAGACGTGTGGTGACGAATACATTGGCGAAACGGGTAGACCCCTCTGTGTCCGCATGAAAGAACACCTAGCCGGCAAAAGTAGACCAAATACCCCGCTAGGCACGCATAGGACCCAGAGACATAACGGGGACGACTTCGAAGTATGTGTCACGATCCTCGCACGCGAATCAAGAACACAGGCGCGAAAAACTCTCGAGGCTCTCTGGATTGATTCCAGAAATCCGAAAATGAACCGCAGGGAAGAATGCCTCATTATCACGCGTGATATAGGGCAGTATATAAAACTGCTTTTCTGATGTGAGGGGCACATTATACTTCCACGTGATTTCTGTGCGGTTGGTCTCTACGTGACATACTTAGTGGAGACCTCATAGAAAGCGGTGAGTGTGCAAAGCTGTGTTCAAAGTGGTTGAAATCTTGGTTTGGGGTTTTTTTGTTTGGTTATAGAGGCGTCTGGCCGGGTGAGTTGCTATCAACTTGACCTTTCCAGGCTCTGAAGAAGGCAAAATCCGCCGAAACGTCAGCTTAATCGTGAAGAAAGAATAATAACACCTCGCGTTTGCTCAACAAAAATACGAAGAAAATCAAAATTAACTGTTATTTCTCGCTGATATTTTATATTTGATGTTCTATTTTCACTAGCTTCCGATTCTGATTTCTCCCAAACTTCCGATTTCAAAACAGCGGAGCACAGAATTGAGTAGAGGTCTGCACATTAGGGTATTTGATTTTTTAATGATCCGTAACCTACTTGAGGATACAACTTTGTATTAAGATCGGATATTGTTGTAATACATTTTTAGCTATATCTTTAACATTAGGTGGCGGTAGCACTATTTTAATCGACGCGTGAAGTGCAGTGAGTAAAGGCACCCTATAATACACACGTGATTTTTAGTTCGATCGCTCTCATTGGGCTTACGAAGCCTTCTATTTCTCCTCGATTATGCACATCGAAGCAGACTTGTCTAGGAGAGTAGCAGCAGCACCTAACGAAAAAATAGTCTGAGTAGCACTGAATTAATGCATGCATCGATAGGGTCCTTATAGTCACTTTATCACCTCTGTGTTGTCTCGTCGTTGATCACCGAGTAACTCGATCCAACGTCTGTAATCCGTTCTTCTTCCCCTGTCGCGTACAAGACCAGTTCATTGGGTTTTGCTTGCTTTATAGACTAATTCAGCATCACATATTTCTTCTAAGCTTTTCTTGAAGAGCTCTGACCATCGGAACGATGGTATTCTTGCAGTACATTTAACATGCAGAGGAATCCAGTCACTAACGGCTCCTGTCCATCGGTTGTCGTTCATACGCATTATGTGTCTGGTCCCCGTTGTCTTCCACTATTTGGCGTTTCGAACGGCATCTTTCATTATTGATCATTGACGCAGGTTGGAGCTCCGCATATCTTCCGTCACTTGTGCGACACGGAATTCTCATAGCATTGTCTTTTCGACTGCTCTTTCACTAACGCTCAGCGATTGATAAATGCCGAATGGTTTAGCGTTTATCGTCTGTATGAAGCCTTTAAGCTATTTTACATGCTTAGAACACTTGGACAAGGTGATCAGGATTTTCGGTTAGCATTAAAAACCCTTGCTAAACAATCAATTTCTCAAGGGAATACGATTTTGGCTAGAATTCTCTCGAGCTTCCGCTATTGAGCAACTTCGACCTTTCTTTCTTTGTCGGAGCCGTGAGAACTTATTCAGTTACGAGCTTAAACAAGATATCCCGAATATTTTGACCTTTTTTGAGCTCTTTCATAAATTTGAATTGCAGCCAATATTTTAGAAAATGAACAACTTTTTTTCGTTGACTCCTCATGAAAGAAGCTTTCTTCAAACATCATTAATAGAGGGTTCATCTTTCTAGCAGATTGACCCATACTGATGAGTTGAACATCTCCGTTTAGAGAGCCCAGATAGAGAAGGACTATGCCCTAGGATTTACCTCTGTGAGTTATTCGTGGGTCATCTAGTCAAAAAAGGAAGAGGAAGGAAAACTTCAGATAAAAAAACCTTAGACGAGAATTGTGACGCTCTAGATTCTGAAAGGTCACTGAGAAACATTTCTGGCTCGTAGGGATATTCAGGATTTATTCAAAGGTAAAGTATTGTCAGAAGCAAAGTCCAGTGCTGAGCATTTGGTCGTAACTCCTCTAACCTGACTCCTCTTTTGACGTCAATGTTAATATTGTTGTAGAAAGGTGAAATCTTGGTTGAGGAATTTATACAGCTCATGAAGTATCTTAATATACTGAGTAGGGACCTCTTGACTGTCAAAGGCTGCCATAACTGCTTCTATCTCAGTTGAGTCAAAGGTCTTCTTTAAATCGATGAAAGTGAGACAGAGCGAACCTTTGTACTCTCGCGATACTTCAATGAGTCTTGTAATCGTGTGGACGCGGTCTATCGTAGTAAATCTTTTTCGAAACCCTGCTTGTTCGCATGGCTGTCCCTCGTCCAGTGTTCTGTGAATCCTGTTTAGGATGACTCGAATGAAAAGTTTGCGGATCACAGAGAGGAAGCAGATTCGGCGAGAGTTGCCTATGTTGTGGAGGTCACCCTCCTTGAAAATTAGCACGATCTGGCTGGTTTTCCACTGAGTGGCGACGTTGCGTTGTGACAGGTAACGTGTGAAGAGCCGAGCCAGTGTGCTTACGAGGACTGGCGGAGGATTCTTCAGGTGCTCAAATCTCATCCACTCCGAATCTCGCACTGCTTGATTTTTCACTGACAATAGCATATCGAATNTCATATGAGGGTAGGAGGACGTGGCTGTTAAAGAGATCTGAGTAGTAATCGTGGTTGATTTTCACCATTGCTTTTCTGGACGCTGCAACTGTTCCGTTTGGGTGTCAGAGTGCAATCAGCTCAGTTTGGTAATCGGCGAAGCCTCGGTGGACTTGGGAACGTTTCCCCGCCTCTGTAGCATCGACCAGCTGCTTTCTATCTTTAACATCTTATTTCATTTTACTTTTGCTATCAAGTGCGTAACCCAGATAGGGAGTCAACTACCATTAACGGATTCGTGATGAGGTCAAATACATGACCCATCTCCCAGTATTGATTAGTGCTAAAGGTTTCATAATGTGTTCCATTTAATTCTAACTTAGCGCTGAACCTCGGTTTCATGCCATAATGTTTTGCTTCCAACGAAAGCGGTTCTTGAGAAACTGATTGCTAGAAATACGACGAATCAGACTGTGATCACTTTTCGGTGTTAATTCAGCTGTTCTTCTGTAAATGATTTAGTCGACACGTGCGTCTGCTTATTGCATTTTTAGCGAAATATCTAAATCTAAGTTTTCATTTTCTTACATCACGGTAACCAATTCCGCCAAAATTTAGTGGTTGATTTGTGTCTTCTAAATTGCACCGAAAATTTCACTTGTTTAACGCTTTACTGATATTGTTTATTTCTAATGGGTAATTAAGCGCTTGAAATGGCACTTGGAGTTATCAAGGAGTACAGCGCTCACCTCATGCACTTCATTTAGCTGCAAGGGTACACGCGTGTGGCGCAGCGATTTCTATGGCTGGCACCTGAATGGGTGTGAATTAGCCAAGGATTCGCATGACTAAGCAGCATCTGCCCAGCTTCGCATTCCATTCTACGTGACTTATCAAAATTGTGCCTCTTATTTTTGAACTAAACGGTTTCCTCTTAACAGAAAGTATTGGGAAATTGGGTCGCATGTAAATGGATTTCTATAACAGTAGTTCTCACGTCGCAAACAAGCTGTAGATAGCGCGTCCTTTTGGCAAGGAATTGTGCTAGCCTAGAACTAGAGCGAAATAGAGAGCGATCTAGCCATCGTAATCATATTTTATCTGGGTACGAATTAAGTGAAAGGATATCGATTTTACAACCTCAAACCCTGGGCATACTGTCTACCAGAAACAATTTGCATCGAATGTGAAGGAAAACGAGAATTAAAATAAATGTGTTAGTTTCTTCGTCCATTAAAATAAATCGAGCGAAAGTTTACAAAAAGCTCAGCCTCAAATCTCAGCTTTACATGGTCTTGTCATTTGCTCCCGCTCATAACTGGAAGGTGTTATCTCCAGCTTCTTCAGTGTCGAAACTGTGCCATCCGAGTTGCTACATATCTGTACAACCTGATCAGATGTACGTCAATTCGTTGGCAAACTTAACCTCTAGAGTATTGAAAAAACCCTGAATTGCTAAAATCTATAAAATTCTAACTCTTAGAAGGAACGAAGCAGTTATTTCAAAGCAAGAAACGTTAGGTAACCCTCACTTGTATCATTAGGTATAACTTAAAATCCGTTTCAGTATGAGAAGGATGTCTTCAAGTGAAGAATTTTTCTTGTTGAAACATCATAATTATCAAAAAAAGTAAACTACTCGCGAAAGAAGTAATCACCTTAGCAGTAAAATGGGATGCTGTGTAAAAACGAACCAGGACACACTGATGGAGCGAGAGAGGTCTTGGCGGCTTCTCTTCACTTCGGCAACACGTGAAATGAGCGCGAAATGGGAAAGGCTAGGTCATATTAAGTATCAAAGCTGGTAACTATAATTACCAATAAACTGTATAGAGGAACACGTCAAGACGCTTCGTGGTATGCGGCCATCATCAATTGGAGGTTTGGAGGTAGACAAGGTAGTTGACAATTTCATATATCAAGATTTTTCTTACTCTACAGACATTGATTGGCGTGTGTTCATATTATTTTGCTTTTGGTTGCTTATTTGGTCACAGAAAGTTTCTCGATACCGTTCGGTTTTTAATCGAAACAACGGCTTACCTTTAGCACACACCATCAGCCCAAACAGTGATACGGGGCAGTTCCTGGACGTACAACTTAAAGTTCATCATCCAGACCTTCGCCGAACTTGAACAGCAAGACATTTGCGAGTTCCACTCCAAGGGATAGCGACACTGAGATGAAGCCCGTCGAACCATTGCAAGCTACTGGATGAAATTCTTGCGTTACAAAACATTAGGAATGAAATGCCCTGGTCGACAACCATGGTACACTTTTCCATTGAACGATTGCAATCAAACGAGCTGCTCTGTCATTCAATAGAGATTCTAGACCCGTTAAAGTCATTCGTGGCCTAATTAACCTTTAAATAATGCAGATCAAGCTGCATAATCGGGATATCTTACAAAGAATAGCAGTTGTTCGCACGATTATGAATGCTGTTTTTCTGATGCCCTCATTTAAATTAATCGATGATTCCTAACAATACAGTCAACGCTGATTGTTTAAGGATTACTGAGATAACAAAAATACATTGATAATTCACTGTTTTTCTACAACGAGCAAACACGATGTCGTTATTACAGACACACAGCACACACACAAGAGCTGACGTTTCGGCGATTTCATCTTTTTCGGGGCGACACTGGAAAGGTCTGATTGACATGCGATCTACTCGGCCAAACAATCTCATCACCTTAGCAGACAAAATTTAACACATAAATTTGTATTCGCATAGCAAAAAGCTTTTTTTAAATACCTATAGTTTTGTTCGTTGTAAGTCCTGCAGTTAACTGTTGGAGACCAGCTGCACAGACACATAGGAAGCGAAAGTGCCTGGGTGTGGATACTTGGTACTTGAACGGCCAGTCCTCACTGGTTATGCAGGCCACAGCATAATCTCCGTTACCTGGACTGGTAATCTGCTCGTGAAGCCATTGTGGTTTCCTGGAAACACAAAGCCAGCCTGCCTGAAGTCTGCCCCAGGTCTTCACCACCACAGGCAGTTGCAGCCCTTGTGGATCAGAGAGAGATTTGCCACCATACGACTCTAGTACCAAGACCGTGGTGGATCCTGGTATTGGTTTACTCTCAGCTAAGTTTCCTGATGGAAACGCCGGACTCCTTCTCAGCTCGAGAGACCTTCCTAGGAGATGAATCCCTTGTGTTCATCGCACTCCGTCACCCAGGAACACCTCTGAGCCACGATGAGGCGGTAAGCCGATGAGAGGTATCTATCAATGTCGACGTTGTTAGAGGCAAATTCGGTCTTGGAAGTTCCACATTAGTTTACGAAGGATTTCATATACAACAAGGAAACTGTTGGACATTCCCATCACAGCAACAGTCAATAAGAGTAACCTGCCATAAAAATTATAGAAGGCAGAAAACAAAACGTTAACACATAGTCAATAAGAGTGTTTTGTTCTGACAGTATACTGTTTTCCACGTATTTTTCGTTTACAGTTAAGCCTGTTTGTCATTAGCAATGTTTTGCAAGTAATCTGAAGCAAATTTTTCCACTTTGATTCATCGAAAGAAAAAGGAAAACTCGGTAACGACAATGAGAAATAACGTCATGCTATCGAAATTGCAGATCCTCTTCATGTACAACATCTGTCACAGACCGTGTTACTCAGTCAGGACAGAGCAGTTCAGGACCTCTCATCATGCTTCCAAGTCGGTGTTCCTCTCCCTCTCACTATTTACACGGCTTAAAGGCAGAGGCACAAATGATTGCGGCGAGAGTTGAAATGAAGCCCTAATGCTTTTGTAACACTGTTGATATAATCTTAACTCTTTTATTTACTGCCTTTTTCTTCTTAATGGCACGATATGTTGTGAAATATAACTCGTATGAAGTGCTGAGATATCTGCAAAACTCCGGACCACAGGTGTATGCAGTGGAGAACGAACACGCGCTGTTGTTCTTACCGGGGAGCAGCGCACTTTACCACTACACCATCCGGGTCCTTAGCTTTGCATGTATCTCAGCTAGTTCTATCGATCTTTTTGCCATAGCAATCACCCGTCAATCACTGCATACACCTGTGGTCCGGAGTTTTGCAGATATCTCAGCACTTCATACTGTTGATATAGTAAAAGACCACCGCAGGCGTTTATTCATTCACATAAAATCATATATGAAGCAAACCATTTTAAAGCCAACGATTAACCCGACATTACAAAACCGCATACAAATGTAGTCTACATTTTCGAATTAACCCTAAGCGAACCAGTGACACAGGTGCTGCGAAAACAAAGAACGATAAACCGCCATAAATGCCACGACATTATAACTAAAGCGAAGACGTGATTTTTCCTTGTGGACATGTCCACGCACGAACATCACCGAGCGCGAAAATATATTGAATTAAGTAGCAAACAAAGTACACTTTCCACAACCACCATTATGAAGAGTTTGGATACGGAATTACACCGTCAAAAAACAGTAAATTCGCAGGACCAAATTCTCAAAAGAAGCAAAAATTTCGCATGCACTTTGAACGGCAATAAGAATGCACCTAGGAAATGGGAAACATTCCGATGGAACTGTATAGAGGCCAAAACAAAGAACGAAGACAAAAAAATTTGTGGCATCAGAGATTCCCATAGAAGAAATCCAGTTTTGGTAGTGAACTAACTGCGAGTTTAACTTATCCAAATACTTCAAACACTGACTCAGCAGCGTCAACCAGATGAAATAAACAGTCCCAACTAATTCGTGGCAAAGCAGTAGTGCATAACGAAAATGCTGGGATACTGTTCTTAGACCCAGAAGAGGTGCACAACCAATTACCATGCAATATTGAAGTGTTATATATTTAATGTTTAAGTAGCACCTTCATGTGCTTGAACATAGAAGACTAGCCGAGAGAAAGGCGAAACGAAGGATACGCATGGTGTGGTGGTACGAATCTAAATATGTGGCAAACTGTACGAAAGAGCGGTCGAAGGAACTTGCTTCAAACCTCGTTTATAAAGAGCGGAGCGTTCAAGGTACTTAGCAGCTTTGATCTCTTTCCCGTTGCCAGTTTTTGTGTTTGGATAGTAGGTGTCAAGAGTGCCTGCATAAATTTTCAAAAATTGTCTAAAAAGCTATCTTTAGAAACTTAACCCTTTTATTTACTGCCTTTTTCTCTTTAATGGCATGGTATGTTTCGAAATATAACTCGTATATAATGCTGAGATATTTGCAAAACTCCAAAATTGCAAAAAAAGAAAAAGGCAGTAAATAAAAGGGTTAAGATTGTGATTATAACTAAGCCTCAGCTCAACTGGGTTCAATGCCGATTTGGGCTCCCCAGATCAATCCCGTTGACGGGTGATTGCTGATGGCAAAAGATCAATCGAACTAGCTGAGAGACAGGCAAAACGAAGAACCCGGATGGTGTGGTGGTGAAGTGCACTACTCCCCGGAAAGGACAATAGCGCGCGTTCGTTCTCCACCGCATACACCTGGGGTCCGGAGTTTTGCAAATATCTCAGCATTATATACGAGTTATCTTTAGAAAGTTCAAATTTCGTTAAAATGCAATAGGTAGAGGAAAGCCGTTATAATATAATAACGTAACCCATTTTTATTTCACAAACGAAATTTACCGCACTGTTGGAAAAAGGTTTGTAGCCCTGTTTGCCCGATTTAGCAAGAAATTGTAGTCCAAGCTCAGTTTAGCAGCATTTGCAGCCCATTCAATTTGTAGCATTCTTGTTTGAGAAAGTAACAGCAGCAGTGAACAAAGAGATCTGAGTAACACCGAATTGACGAGCGGGTACCCCGTAAAGCTCATTGTATAGGCGAGATATTCTTTAAATCACCTCTAGCGATAGTTTATAAAGTCTGAGGTATGGCTTATCACTTTGGAATTAATGAACACCTTAAGCTTATGCTACCATTTACAACAATCCAGGAAAATCTTGACTGCTAAAAATTCAACGAAGCAAATTAAAGCTATTTCTCATCGATTTTAATAACTGTTTTCTGTAACGATTTTTTTCTAAAGTGCTAACAAAAATCGTGGTCTTTCCTTTCATCATGCGTAGCAAACGCTTGTTGGATTTTTAACAAAACGTCTACAGCGAAATTCTCATTTTCTTATTTTTCGGATGCCGGCTTCACCAAAATTTTCAGGTTAGTTTCCAATTTTTCACCTCTATTGAAAATTTCACTATTTAAACGCTTTAGGCGCATTCCTGCACCACCTGTAACGATTGCAGTCCCACTGATCGTCAAGTGACAAGAGCGGGCGCCAGTAAAACTTTCATTTTTCCCCGTCGCGAGCAAGAGCAGCCCAAGAGCGCACAAGGGACTCGCCGAGCATCATATCTCTCTTGCAGGCTCTTCGTGAAGAACTCTGACCATCGGGTCGGTGGTCTTCCTGCAGTACGTTTGACATCCCGAGGAATCCAGTCACTAACCGCTTTTGTCCATTAGTTGTCATTCATACGTATTACTTGTCTGGCCCACGTTTTCTTCGGCTACTTGTCGCACAAAACGGCATCTTTGATTTTATGATCGTTGGAGCAGGTCGGAGCCTCAGTTCAATTCTTCAACTTGCGTTACACGAAGTGCTCCCAGCATCGCCCATCCTACTGCTTGTTCAATAACATTGAGTGATATTTCATCCCTCCTAGTCAGCGACCATGTTTCTGGCGCATGTGTTCAAGCAGGGAGTACTGTTGAGACAAAAAGGTGGGCACGGAGTCGGGTGTTCTTTGTTCTCCTTACTGCAACTCGATGCACTTGAAAGCTCGCCGAGCCGCTCGTTTCCTTCTACTCAACTCTGAAGCTAAGTCGTTCATCATGTTGCTTTCCCGACCTAGATAGATATAACTGGAGCATTCGGAGATACTCGTTCAGTTGAGCGTGAATGAGGCATGCGAAAGCAATCGGTTCATCATGAACATCATTTTGTGAGATTTAGTCAGAGACCAATCCATCCACAGGCATTATCAAAGCCGTTAAGCATTCGTTCCACTTGGCCAATATTTGGTGTTATAAGGACGATTTCATCAGCAAAGCGAAGATGGTGTAATTGCCAACCATCGATTTTCACTCCCATATTATCCCATTCCAATGTTCGCATGACATTCTGGAGGGTGGCGGTAAATAACTTTGGCGATATGGTAACGCCTTTTTAGGACGGCTCGTTGATATAGGAATACCAAGTAGTTAGGACAATTCGGTCGGAATTAGCTGCTCGCCTTTGTGTACGCCACGCGGGACTTCTTGTGATTAGCAGTCACAATGCCGGACACCTCAAACTTGGGTAATTAAACCGTTTATCATAATTATACAACAATCATAACAATACAACTCTACAATTAATGCAACAACGATACGGGTTATGAGTAGGCGCAGCCTGATCACTGGTGTTCAGGCTGCTTATGAGTGAAGAGATTGGCATATGGCTTTTACTACATGAGATGGAGGTGAGGCACGAATGCGGTGACTTGGGCAGCATTGCTGTGACATGAGCTAGCTAACCGTGGAGCCGTTTATATACCTTTGCGCTGGGCGGAGTCAGATTGCAGCAGACGGGGTCGAGCTACAGTAGGCAGAAAGACGGGTGCTGGAAAAATTTCTCAAGCCTTGCGATCTGATAAGGCGATATTCAAAGCCTAGGACCGTAAGTGCAGATATTTTACGAGATAGGCGCCAGCGAAATGTTAGACATACGGCTATCAGATCGTCATGGAGAAAAAGTCATGGGAGAGGCATTTGAAATGTTTGGAAAGGTTATAATTGATTTACATAGAGAACACTTCAATATTCGTGAAGAATGTTCTCTATACGCCTTGTCTAACTCCTCTTTTAACGTCAATGTTAATATCGTAGTAGAACAGTGACATGAGCCAATCGTATTCTTCCTCGATGTTATCGACAACGGCATCTTCGCAACATCCAACTAATAAATTGAATAAGTCCCGGTTTGCGGTGGTTCTAAGACTTGGATTTTTGAATTTTACGGTTTTTTGTCCTTTCCGCGAAAAATAGAATCTTGAACGAAGAAGGCGATGGTCCGATTTTGTGTAAAATTTTGGGACAGCAGCGACTTTGGTTGGGCAAAACCTTTGGTTTGCTGTCACGTGGTCTCCTTCGTTATGGTACTCTCCTTTGGGAAACTCCCACGTCCAGCGTTGAGAGTGGGGCTTTTGGAATTGCGAGTTACCATAAATTTTCTTGGTCGTCATAATAAATTCATAAGGCCATTCACTCTGTTTATTCCATTCTAATCCGTGGGTACCTACTGTCGCATGATCAGAGAAACAATTCTTCTCCGGTGTCATAGACGGCTATGAAAGCGTGGCGTCTTCTCGTTTCGTCCAGGCCGATGATGTCGCACCTAATCCTTTTTGCCCGCATGAGCAAGTCTATCGAGGACTCGGATGCAAGTGTACGCCCATTGTAGGTACAGATCGTCACCTTTGTTTTTCGTGACTCAGGCGGCTTCCATTGGCTCTGAGGTTTTAGCAGCCTCTTAGTACTCGTCCAACGCTGCCGAATTGGGGCTCTTTCGGAGTCAGAGGAATGAGGCCCGCTTCTTCTGCTTCTAGTTTTTTGATACCCACTTACAGGCTGCTATGCTCTGAACATTGGGGCTGGGTATACTCACGGTAGCTTGCCAGTCTATCCCAGAGTGAACATGGAATTTATTTGCTGAAGGTGTCTCCTAACCGCCTCCCATATACACCTCTGTCACTTCATTTCAGGGTTGTGGCCGAATACAATCCGCATAAACGTGAACGCACCAGCACATAAGTGCATGAATACTCCTCGTAAATACAGAATGTAAGGCGAAGGAGAAACAGCGAGTCCATGCCCAGAATCCACCTGCCTCTAAGGGAAACACGCGGTCGCTTCTGGTCCGCTATTAACCCCTTATTCACCACCTGGGGACGAGCCTAGCCTCGCGACTAACCGGCTCGAGATCCCTCACATGGGAGACCGCCGTGGTTAAGCGTCTTATTTTATACAAATAGATAGTTATTTAGTAATTGGAATGTGGTATTTGGAGTTATCAAAGCATGCAGTGCTCTCCTCATGCAGTTCAGTTAGCTGCAAAGGCGCATGTAATGTGGTGAGCCATGTGGGTGGCGCATAGATTATTATGGCTGGAGCCTGAACGAATTGTGTGAACTAGCGAAGGTTTCTCGCGACTAAACAGCATCTGTCTGGCTGAGCACTGCATTCTGCATAACTTGTAAAATTGCTCCTCTTATTTCCACACTAAACGGTTTCTTCTTAACCTAAAACTATTGAGAAATTGGGTCACATGTAAATCGATTTTTACAAGAGTACTCTTAAAATCGTAAACATGTGGTAGATAGCACGTTCCTTGAGCCAGAATGGTGCTTGCCTAACACTAAAGTGAAATAGGGAGAGACATAATTATGCATCATAATTACATGTTATCTGAACAAATATTAAATGGAAGGATATTTATTTCACGACCCAAACTTTCTGCAGACTTTTGGCGAAAAATAATCTCACTTTTCGCATGGCTTTCTCATTTGCTTCCACTCACCGCTGGTAGATGATGTTGTCGTCTTCTTCACTAGTGGCATTATCTCGCTTAAGTTGCTGGCATCGGCCGGGTTCTTTTTATCCGACGATTTATCTGTGCAACCTATACAAATTCATTTTATTTCGTTAAGGCGCTTCACTTCTAAGTTATTAAAAACGGCTCCTGAATTCCTAAAATTTATAGAATGCAAACTGTTAAGAGGAACAAATGAGTTGTTTTCAAAGCAAAAACAGTGGAGAAAACCTAACCTGTTAAATAGGAAAGAACTTTAAATCTTTTCAGTACAGGAAGTACCCTTCAAATAAAAAATTCCTCAACTTGAAAAATTATAACCATCTCCCATAAGCAAAATACTGCAGAAATATAGAAGTATCCTAGCAGTAAAGGAATGGCAGACTAATGGCTACTGCAGTGGGCTACGCCCTCTCCATTAGAAGTATGGGAGACGAAAACAAGTGGAATTCTGCATAGAACGAACCTGAACACGGTTGCAGAGTGCTGGAGGCCTTATAGGCCTCTCATCTCGTTTAATGAGCTCGATGAGGAACAGTTTGGGCCTTTTCATGCATCAAACTTGATAACTGTAGCTATAAATGAACGGTATACAGGGTCACCTCGGAACGCTTCGTGGTATCTGTCAGTCACCATTTTGCAGTGGTCCATGTAGTTTATCACTTTATAGTGCAAAATTTTTCGTTCTCCATGCACCTCGTTCGGCATTGGTTGGCCTCACTTTCTCTTCAGTTGTGTGTTTTACCATAGATGACTTTTGCATATAGTTCGGTTTCTGATCCAAAGGGTTGTCTACCGCTTCATAGATATGACCAATCCAAATATTATACGAGATAACCTGCTGTGACTATCTTTAAGTACTTAATACGTATTATGTAGAGGTGCGTACAGGGCAATGGATGGGGTGCTCTGCAATACACATGGGATGGATCCTCAAACCACAGGTTCACCAATCATTCCATCCTTTCGTGTATGATGAATTGCTGCCAGACTTCTACGGAAGGATAGCAGTACCGGGCTGGATAGATGTCGTGCCACCGCGAGTCATTCTAAAGGCCAAGCCAGATATTCACTCGGTTACGTCAAACGTTGCTTAATGAAGTCGAATACCTGGCGCACTACTCAGGGATTGATTAACGTCGAGAGCCTCATCATTCATCTTTTATTTTTCCGTTATAAACAGCATCACTAGAGTTGATAAGATCACCGCAATTGATAATTGTAACACTGAAAACTGTAGACTCATTTAGCATCTTCGCATTAGCGCTATGAAAACTGAGTTCGAAAGTCACCAAGGGAAATCTGTCTTCAGAAACACTTGAGCATGCATTCCAACGTGTAAGCGCACAAGCCATAAGCAACCGCCATCTCAAGTCCGCGCATACAAGACAACAGAGACAAGCTATAAAAGAAAACTTTAAAGAGAAATGAGTAACAATTGCAGGTAAAACTACTGCAGGAGGTGGAAAGGTCGCTTGCGTAGTTCACTGGTATCTCAGTAGAATCAAAATGATTTCCTACTAATCGCTTGAACAGACAGCTTCATCTTCCAAAAAGCAATAGAAGAGGTTATTCACCAGCATTAGGCGTGTCTCTTCATTAGCTACGTCCTAATTAACTAATTAGATAAAAGCATTTAGTATAGCGGATGTTCTCCCATGATAGCATGAGCCATTGAAGTAGAACCAAAGCACAAAAGGCCGCCACTTCTCGATTCCATAGAAGGAAGGATTTCGACTCCGTTGAGATAGAAGCAGTTATGGAAGCCCTGGACGGCCAGTGTATCCCTACTTTCTTAAAAAGATTCTTCGAGAGTTTGTAAAAAATTTCCCAAGCAAAATGTCGCAACTCTACCACGTTGTTAGCATCGATATCAAAAGAGCGGTTTGGAGAGGTGATACCATATTGCCAAAATTATTACTTACCGTGACCCGCGAGAACGTCATGCGAACACTGGAATGAGATAAGATGGCAGTGGAAATCGATGGTATGGTCAGCAACAGCACCATCTTGCTTTGATGATTTGATCACTACCATAACGCCAGGCATTAGCCAAGAAGAAGGAGCAGCACCATCTTGCTTTGATCAATGCTTTAACAAATGCAAAGCAAATGCTTACCCACTTCAACAACTACTGTGAAAAAATAGTGTCCGATTAAATCATACAAAAATGATTTTGGTAAGAAGCGGTTAGGTTTCCTGTGCCCTATCCTGCTCAAAGGAAAGATTATTTAAAAGTATTACAGATGCAGTCACGCTATGGTCAAGCAGGTTTTGAAGTCAGCACGATGAACGACTAATATCCAGAGTTGAGGACAAGGTATCGAACGGAATGAGCAGTCTTCAAGAACAACGGGGATGTGGAGAAAATTACAAATAACATACGATATCGTGCCCACCCTTTCGACTTCGCCATTCTACCTACCTTGACATAGGTGTCAGAAAACTGGTAGCTACGTATATAGGATGGATGACCACTCAGCTTTATAAAACGCGCAGTCGTGGTGTAAGAAGTATCGCGTATCACCCAAGTGAATGAGCGAATACGGAGCCCCGACACACGTCTGCGATAAAAAAATCAAATACGCCGGTTATTGCACTAAATTTTCGAAGATAAAGTGGGCCGGTCATATAATGCGCACGTAGGACAACCGACGCACAGGAGCCGTCAGCGCATGGATACCTTGGAAAGCTAAGCGCAGAGCGATAAACACACCACTGCGATGGTCAGAGTGTTTCGGAAAAGGCCTAGAAGAAGGATGTTACCACGACGAGCAAGCGTAATTGTTGCATCATTTTATTTTTTTTTTTAGAAATTTTGATATTTAAGCTGGGTTTTTACGAGGTTCTATTGCAAGGGTAAAGGCTTTTTTACCAAATCCAATTACTCATTATTAAGTGAGCATCGCATGAATGCCACAGATTGGTACAACATTTCAGCGTTCACGAAATACACGATGGGCCACACCGCAATTCCTGTAACGAAATGGTTAGCGGCGAAGTGTAGCGGTTTAGATTGATGTAGAATATTAGCCACGCGGGTCTTTTAGTTGTTGTAGTTGATCTACCAGCCTCAAACTTGGGTAATTAAACCTTTAATACATAAATACAATACTGATAACATGATAGTAACGATAGAGGAGTAATGGTAGAGGAATGAGACAAATTGGAGCTCTGAGGTGCTAAGGCCTGTAGTGTGGTTGTGAGGCTAACAATGAGGCAATGGCATTCAAACATTATTATACCATT